TAGATGGAAGTCGGCATGCATGCAAGGTTAAAACCTCACGTCGATGCAAACTTGTTGAATAAACAATATCTTAATTAAATCTACTGAATTTCTAATAGCTGCTATGAATTGACGGTGGAAAAGTTATGTTTTCTTTCAGTGTGTGATATAACTGAACATACTCGAAGCATTTTTATAGCGTGTCGTTGTCGTCGCTTCGCGAATAATACAGCATTGAAAGATGGCATTCGACTAATCTCCCAGATGGGTTATTAGTCGAGGTTTTTCTAGACGTTTGTTATTTCCTTGTACGAAGGATGTACAACCATAATTTTTAACTGCTCTAAATCACTGTAATATCATTCAATTGTATATACTTAAAACTTGTTGACTAGCTGAGCTTGCTAAGCGGAAGTAGCTGCTAGCAAACCACCAAAGGCCTCAAAAAGGCAGAAATGCTAACTGAAGGTTTCGCCAATGACTCCAGAGTACGTACTACCTAGAATACTGTTATTTACTTTATCTAAGCAAACCTAGACACGGCATTAAGTACTATAATAATGATGACATCGTTTATTTCTCCTTTCACAAAAAGTTCTAAAACTAGGTACTAACAAAAAGAACTAACTTACAAAACAGAGTACATTTATGGAAAGCTGGAGCCTAAACTAAATCAAAAAGTTTGTATTTAGGTCTCCGGGCCTCCCAACTCAGATCATAATTACAATTACATCAATATATTGCCGACCTTTCGCGGTACTCGACTGCTCTGACGTTGGAGCCCGTGCCACCCATGTTTACATGGACATAGATGAAGGTCACAGGGTATACAAAGGTCGCAACCCACAACAGCTGCCTCCTCTGTTTCTATGGACAGTTGTCTCTTCATTAAATTAATTAAAACAGGCGTTAACATAAGAGTGTAACTCAAATACACATCTTTGAACAAAAACTTGCTGAATCCACTTAAGTAATAGTGAAATAAAATTATGACTAAGTATAATAATTCACAGTTATTCTTATTTATATCCACAGTCATGCATCAGTTAATATTTTGTACCTCTAAATTATCAATTTAATCAAAGCAGGTGTTTTCTGTAGAAAGTGGCAATCTTCAAATCATGGAATTAATTAAAATATGAAAAGGCTCGTTGCATCGCGCGGGGATCGCGCGGTAATTGGGGCTGGCTTAATAACTCGCCGCCATCGCCACCGTTTCCGGCGCAGCCGGCGACATTAAATGCCATGCAAATACTCCATTTAAGAGCTGGAATTTAAAGATAGTACTTACGAAGAGATTATATTTAAATAATTTAATACTTTTACGTGATTCTGCGTTTGAAATAAATTTTTTTTAATGATTATCTCGAAATATACAAGTTTCTTACCACGATATAACTTTTATTATTTTCCTTTCATTTCGGAATTCCGTGGTTTCGGGATGATCAGAGCATTGAAACGTTCGGAAATTTCGGGAATATAATGAGAAGTCATGCCGTCTTATGGAACCTGCATTTATTTTATTAGACAAATCATTCATGACTAACCACAAAAGTTTTCGTTTTTCCAAATGATTTTTAATAATAGATAATTCATGATGAAACCGACTGAAGTTGGTATGGAATTACCTGCCTAAAGCAATAGCAATAAATTTTGTGATTTTCAAAGACAAGTACTTCTAAATCTGTCAATATTAATTAAATCTAAATCTATTAATGCTAACACCATATTGGGAAACGCCCCAAAAAATTACAACTAAACCAAATCATTCCATTTAGAACTGTGGGAAAATAGATTTCTTAATACTAGCGTAATAACTGAGTACGAATTTGCATTGTCTGGACCGTTCCGATCGTTATAAATTGATGGCCTGAGCAATAAATACGGTTCAGATGGCGTATCGCGAATGCGATAATAAATCCCGAGCGTATCTGATAATAGGGTCTTATTTATCCTATACGGGGAATTGGATATTTGAATATTGAGTGGTGTATCATTCGTCTATCAGGTTAGATTAATTCGATGATACGAAAACCCCGACAAACACTGAATAACAAAAAAACAAAACACTATATATATATATATATATATGTATACACATCATTGTAGACTAAATAAAAAGTACTCATTTTGCAGTTGCATTGTATCACATCATCATCACCACCGTTAAACCTTACGCCATACTACTGAGCACGAGTCTGCCCTAAGGAAAAGGTTTAGGCTATTGTGTGACACACTTCCCAGGGATGATGAATCGTCTTCGACGTGCGGGTTTTAGCATGATATTTTGCCTCTTTTCGTAACATATCCATACCGATAGCCGACCGTCTCCAGCTACTTGGAATGGACCTGTCATCCAATATGAACTTCGGCAGATACATTGAATCCTGGCTAAAAATGCAGTCAGGTAACTTGGCATCCTTTCCAGGGTGAGGCGTTACGGGAAGTAACGCCTCACCCTGGAAAGGACAGCACAGTTGCTTCAGCTGTATCAAGCACAACTCCGGTCGTGTATGGAGTACTACTGCCACCTTTGGGATGGCTCTGCTACATACCAACTGGCCACCTTGGATTCAATTGACAAGCGTGCCAAGAGGTTTATAGGTGACTCGGAATTAGTGGAGGCGAAGCTGCAGAGCCTTGAACACCGCCCTAAAGTTGCCTGCTTATCGGTATTTTACAGGATATATCACGGAGAGCGTGCGATGGAATTACACGATTTAATTCCGCCTTCCCCTTTCCATCATCGGGGGACTAGGCGTAGGCTTGGCTTCCACCCCTATGTTGTGGATATTCCCAAGATTCGCACGAAGCGTTACGCTTTCACATTTATATGGCGAACGGCTATGGAATGCAATTCCCTGCCTGCAGACTTGTTTCCTGAACGTTATAACTTGGACCTTTTCAAGGCGAGAGTGAATAGGCATTATTTAGGTGTGCATGCTTCATCGTCGACCTTATCGTCACTTTCCATTAGGTGAGATGGAGGTCAAATGCACACTTACATTTGAATTTTAAAAATTAGACTCTATGCAAGTATTCGCTGAACGGCTTATGGTACTCGCCCCGCGAGGATGGTAATTTGATGTGAAGTGTGAACGTGTTGCGATCAGCCTCTCTAATGAGCTCCGACTAATTTCACGGTTATACTAAAGTAAAATCGTCTATCGATTTCTAGGGAGAACGAAAGAGTCACATGCGACTAATGCGATTTGTAAGGACTCTGCAGGCACATTGTATGTATTACGGAAGTACGTCGGCTCGAAAGTACAGCTCACCATAAGTAAATAATTCTGACATCTCATATCCTGACATACAGCAGTGACAGTAAAATATAAGCAGCGTAAACAACACGCGTGAATTATATGCGAGGCGAGGAAATAAAGCTCGTGCGAACATGAGCACGGCCGAATGATGCGGCAATGACGCGGGCTGCGCGGCGGGTGGGTGCGCGTGCGACGAACGTCAATCTGAAATTATCATAAGCATGTGACACGTGGTAGTATTGTGTACAATTTTTTAGTAACAATGGTTTTATAAACATGTCAGTAAAATCTGAGTTGTCTTTCAAAATGTTCAATGGCTACACAGTTTGCTCACTCCGCATTACGCGAAAGGCGCCCCCGCCCTCGGATTATGTGTTAAGTGCGCGGATAGGTAGTTGTGAGTAGACTTAGTATATAGCTAGATCTACTTGGCTGAGTGAAGAAATAGATTTCTCACAGATGGCGCTACGACAAAAAAGTCGTTAAAAACCAAAACAAACATCTGCAAGAAGTACAAAGAAAATTCGTAGTTTGCTGGAAGACGCTGGTTCAAATCCAGCTGGATCGAAGGAATTTTATTTTTCTAAGTGTCCGATCTTTGTATTAATAATTATATAGCTAGAGTCTAACTCAACGAGTCAGAACCTTTAAAAGTCAGAAATATAGCTTACTTGAGGAATAAGTTGTACACACTTAGGCTGAATTGAGTAAGAACAAACCAGTAGCCATCTGGATAATGCGGTGAGGCCTCTCTACCGTTGAGGACATTACTCACCAGCGGGCCATTTGCGTTTAGCCACGGAATTAAGCCGCGGTTATTAAGTCGTGCGCGGGCGCAGCCGCTGACTGAGCGGAAACATTTGTAATGAAAATAAAGTGGTCGAGGTGTTGACATGATGAAACAATTTAAACATTACATAAATGGTTTATTACTTGTACTCTAGTTAACATTGTATTTTGATAATAAGAATTTGTAATGGTATCCCGGACGTTTGAATTAAATAATACATTTTCATAAAACAACGTCATTTCAACCAGTGTCGGTACAATACAGTGTTTATAACTCGCTTTCTAAAAATGAACTGTTTATTACCACTACAACATCGTGTATCAACTATTCAATGAATCGCAATCAGCAAGATATTTCCATAAAGCAGGAAAGTGCCTTCGGGGCAGCAGTGGACGTCGTTTGTTAGGACTAGAACTGCTTTCTTCTGCGTTGTTGTACCACGATGTTGGTACTTCAGTTAAATGTCACCGGATGTTAGTCGAGGGCCTAAGGCCTCGTTTTATTTAAGTCTTGTTACAGTACAGTGTGCAGTGTAGATATGCAGATATCAACTTGTAATAAGTATTCCATAAGGGTACAGCGTGAGTGGCCACCGGGAAGCGATTTAGACCGTAGCATACATCCCAGATATATGTAGAGTCGGACACTCAACATGACAACTTATTTAAACGTTCTTCTTTGTGAAAATTGTAACAACAACTATTACAATAGCTCTGCGTATATAAACAACTGCAATAGCCCAGCGCCGCTGCTTTTCAATAGAAAGGTTTTATAGCTTTAATTTCTAAGTTACGTACATATGCGAGTTTTTAGTGGCAGTACCTCTCGTAAAGGAAACAATAAAAAAGTCCCCAACCAACATTAAAATCCGCTCCCTAGAGGAGTCCAATGCCCTGCAGTGAGACATATAAAATATTAATGATGATGTCATAAAATTACAAACCATTGAATCAAATCTGCACGTCTCGGGACAGGTTCATTCAATCTGAAACCAAAGACAAAACTATATGAATTAAAACTACGTTACCAACTACGGGGCTTAATGGTATGTTAATAAATAAATTCATAACACGTTATGTTAAATTCACAAGATAATAATGTGACAAGAGAGAGCTTCCGTAATGGAAGCACGTGGGCGTACAAGACTCGGGACATCGTCACTAAATTAGTATAGACAAACCGTAGGCTCCCGGGTTATGTTCCCCGCTGGCAGCGATAACTTCTTGACATTAGGTGCTATTGTAGCCGAAAGACGTCGGCCCACATAAAGTCAGGTCAATTAAATTGTCTACACAACACACGTCATGTATCAAAGGCGACAAACTTAAGAATGTTTTGTCTCGAGTGCTTCAACTATCAAACAGCTTTCGATAAAGCCCGGAAGCTGTACGGCAATCTACTCGTCAATCTGAGAGATAATTGAAAAATACTGCCTCTATAATTTATTCATAGACTCAATAGTACCAGAGACAATCGAGATCTCGTTGCTTATAGTATAATACGCGCTGTTACAGTAAAGCTAAGAGTGGTCTAAATTTAATTACGATACATAGAAACAAGGAGGCCCTTTCCCGATTGGACCTTATGGGTAATTAAACAACATTTCAATATTACGAGTACACTTGTAAAATTATATTTTATTAGACCAAATTAGAATTATTTTATAAGGGTATAATTCTAAGCCACGATAAACGATAATATTCGGAATTTACTTCCTTAATACCATACGTGTCTGTCTCTTGTATTGACGGCAGAAATGGTAACCGTCGAAAAAGTTAAAAAAAGTGTAAAGTAATGTTTGTAGTGGAAAAAGTCAAGAGACTTTGTGTTTGTGCAATGATTTGAAAATAACTCTACCGTTCAAATTTACATAGCGTCAATATAAAATGCTCTTAAACCCAATACCTTCAGAGTCCAACCTAGGTCAATTCCTCATTATATTCACAGCGTAAGTCTGACTTGCATTTGAAGGTATCTACACGTTATGCAAACTGACACGCATTAGCACGCAATAAGGCCAGGCTTAACGGGGCGTCCAAATTCCTCCCAACATTGGGCAACTATCCCACGGCAATTGCTTCGGCAGTCACGCTCGGAGCCTTAACTGTTTCCATACGATGAGAAAATATGGCCATAGGACCTTTCCCTGTTGAGTATGGCACAAATCGCTATTTCGACGTATATACCTTCGAAATAGTCAGACATGTTTATGGAGGGAAAGTGTGCGGATGGGTTAACCAGTTATGACTACGTTTCTACATCTAAAGGTATCCATTAAACTAACTAATGACCAGATATTGGAATAGATGAAATAGTACATCCCTCACAAACCTTGGAGTTATTGTAATGGATTTTGTTTTAAATTTTTGGCTGTAAATGTACTTAGGAAAACGTTTTGTAAATAGAAATATAAAACTGTTTTGCGGCGTGGAAGGAGATGGAGTGACAAAGACAGAAAAAGGGATGCTTTGATGGTTTGTAGAGGAAATGCATGAAAGAACATTGACAAAACAAATTTACAAGGAGAGAGTGAGCGGTAACTTGGTAAGGAGTGACCAAGGCGAACTTATCTTACAATTGGAGTACGTCTTAAAAGAAAGATTCGGTCAAGACAACCATGTTGATGAAGCGAAGATGTGTATTAGGGTCGTAGCAACTGGATGACTGTGGTCTCTGTCTACCCCATTGGGTGAAAAATACACACTTGTTTTTATATCCTTTCATTATAAAATTACAGGACTTTTTTACATTTGTTCAGTTAGATTCCCAGGTGAGGGAAACAACTTAAACGGTTAAACGTCTTTGAATGCAATTTCTCCGTAAAGCATAATATTTCAACTCCGTGTCCCACATCCGAGACTTCAGAGGGGGTTATATCTACTGCAATGTGTTTAATACACAATTGAAGTTTTAGATAAATAGGTATATTCTACTTGTTCCAATCCTTGCTAGTAACACTAATATTGGAAAATGTAAATTGCAATACCGCCTAGGTATTGCGATCTCACAAATGAAATAAGGATGTTATGAGGCAGAAATGGTACGCCATACAGACGAATGTGCCTCGACGGTTCTCTAAGAAGTAAATTAAAAATGAAATTTATGGCAAAGGCACAAAGTACAGAATCCAAGAAAAAAGCTATTGCAAATTGCTCATCCTTTCTACTTTTATTTATTGATTGAGGCTAAATTTATCAAGTAAATGATACATCATTGGAAATTGGAATCCAGTTTCTTCTATTCAACGAACGACTCACGTTTACGATCACAACAACAAATAATTACGTAGTATTAGAATATAATAAGTTTAAGGCACGTTCACACCAATCGTGTCCTGAGATCTAATTCTTCATATCTTTGACTTCAAGTTACTGGGCCTATGAGCTTTAGGGCATCATTACTGACTCAATCAACCGCTTATTATATCAATTTAATAGCAGTAGAGCTCCTTGTCCTTGTGAATTCGTCCATGGAAGCACTGCCACCTTACCTATTCCTGCCGCCAAGCAGTAAAGTGCAGTAAAGTAAGGGTGCTGGTGAAATTACAGGCACATGGGACTTGTCAACTTATGTCTCAGGGTGACGGGCGCAGTGGCAGTGCCTCTCAGATCTTTGCGATTTAAAGCTCTACGTGGCACTGCAACAGTTACGGACAGGCGTGTAGCTTATCATCAGGCGCACGACTTGTTCATTCCGTCACTTGATATTATAAAAAAAATAATAAATAAATATATCACATGTGTCTCAATTACAGGAAGTAAACATTTCCGGTTTCGATCCGATTTGAAAGCACAAATGCAGTCGTTTTCGTCTTATGTGACTGCGACCTTATGTTAGGTCAGACGGGTTCTCGACTTGTTTGAATATTCATAGCGAAGCCAACGCCCGCAGTGGAGCGATGCCGCCGCGCGATGACATAATGGACCCGTATAAATTTATGCCCACATCGATTGGGCTCTATCGATTTGAATCGACATCAAATGGACTGGCCTTTGCAGTACGAATTTAATGGAATTTGAATCGAAAAGTTTATATCGAGATAATGCGACCACTGAGTTTTAATGTCCGGACAAGGTTTACACTTAAACTTGTATAATAGAGTTGTTTAATCGCTGTTCTAGTTTGGCTAATTCTTTGTCGTTTTTAATTGGTTCGTTTTTTAAGAAACTTAATATGTTAAAAACATATGCGCTCATAAATCGGTCTTTTCGAGTAACACATATTACCACATATAAACGAGTAATAACATATTACCACAAATACTGTTTTCGCGTGGTTTTCGTAAAGCAAACATCAATGTGGTATTGCGCACTGCGAGTGTCATGTTCAACGACGCAAGCCCAAGCTACAATGTACTGTCAAATGCAAAATGAAAGAACCAAACCAAACTTGCAACAACCCCAACCTCACGCATTTTGCATGATAACAGAAGTACTAATTTGAAAGTTAACATAGAATCACAAAGTGTGAACAATCTATCTTCGGGAAACAGACGTCCGCGACGCTAGCTCCTGTATTACAGAAAATCCACATTTACAGTTGACTCTACCATACCACGATATTTTTAACGGATGTCAAGCGACTCCGAAAATAATTGCTTCTGCCGATGGAAACGTTAACGGGCACTGTTAAAACATTACCATAAATGTCGTTAACATAGCTTCATTTGTAATGATTATTTATGTAAAACTACATATGTTAAACGAAAATTTACTTTTCTTTAAAAAAGTACCCAGAATATGAGTCTATCTCTTTGCAGTCCAGGATTGCTCACGGCAGTACAGATACAAATCCGAAATATCCTTACGTCATAGGTCAATAAACTAACCATAAAATTGTTATATTGATTAAAGACTGGCGTTCATTCGTCTGGCAAATTCCACAGAAACTAATGAATAAGAAACTTTAGGAATTGCTCTTTGTAAATAGGTTATTGTCAATATTTAACATTAATAACTATTATTTAAAAATATAATAGGTAGAAATGACAATGCCAATACAGGCAAAGGATTGGTAAACAATCCCAGGCTGTGTGCATATAATATTGAACATATCAGCAAGGCGTCAGTGGTGTTTTGTATTTATCGAAAACAAAAAAAACATGCTTTGAGAAATAGAGTCTCTGCAATACTCAAAATTCAGATACCGTGACATATTAGCTGTAATGATTCTCAGTTTCTTATTTCCTTTTTTCTGTACAATTTAATAAATTACATTGTATCGGTAATAAAACTAATAAACTGCCTCCGTGGCCGAACGGTTACCATGCCGGACTGCCACGCAGAGGTCCCAGGTTCGATTCCCGGGCCGAGAGAAATAGTTGTATGGCCTACAATTATATCTCTCGTGAGTTTGGGTGTAATTTGTGGTTGTCTATGTGTGTGTCCATGGCACCCGCGACACAGGGTTTCCCTAGTGCGGGGCTATGTTGAATGTGTGCGTTATTTAAAATAAAATAAAAAATAAAATAAATATTATATGAAGGTAAACATTATGTTTTACTCATCTTATTTAAGAGTGTCACTAAATATACCCTTGGAGGATCCCGTAATTAATAGGGGCGTTTTCCACGATATAAACATGTGTAATGCATGCCTACGTCGTGACGTATCGACCTCTCATACCGTCACGCGCTGGTCACGGTTGATAACAGGCGACACGATATCGGCGCCTGCGCCTACTTACGCGAAGTTGATATCATGAGCAGACGGAAGTAGAGCTGATTTTATTCTAAACAACCGTTTTTATATTCATATAAACGGACACTTGTACAGGTAACTGGAAAATTTTACGTACTTAACAAACCGCTTCTTATTTCAAATGAAGAAGGACTTCAAAAACAAGTAAGAAGAGTAGTGAAGTCTTGCACGTCATTTGTACGCACATTAAATTTGTAAATGTTTAGTAGCGTGATGAAACCCCCACGACGAAGAAGGTCTCCGACCCGCATTGAGTCAACTGAGATCCGTGACCATCACTGTGACT